TGGCAAGGGAGAGAAGGGAGAGGGACTTTAGCAATGAGTTTTCAAGAAATGGGCAAGCTTCGGAGCAGTGCACGCATCACACGTGTGATGAAAAGCAGCGCGGTCTGGAGCGTGGTGTGCGTATGATGTGTGTGTGCGTGGAAACGTGCGTGCGTGTCTACACAGGGAGAAAGAGAGATTGGTGGCGACAGCCCTGCAAAAATTCCTGGTTTATCCCCCTGAAATCAGTGTGCTTATTGCTGCGAGCACATCGTAATCCGTGCGTCCAGCGGACCGGGAATCCTATTTGCTTGTTTGTTTGTTTGTTTGTCTCCCTGCGTCGTGCCCGCCTCGCTCACAGGGCTGGACAGAAAATCCCAGCGTGTTGCCTATTGCGCTGCCTGTTCCCCCCGAAGCAACGTCACCTCAAATATGCCAGTAAATTCCGTACCGGGTTGGGAACGTAATTGGTTGAATGTTTTCTGTAACCCGACTAGCCAATAACACTCCGAGAAAAAATTTAGAACAACCTAGTTACGACAGATGGTGAAAATGACTTGACACTACACGTGTGAGTCAATATGAACTAGAGACGAGATACTTGCCGCACTCATTAGAAATATCATAATACGCCGAAGAGACTACGTGTGCCGCTGTATTTACGGTACAAGGTCCCTTATTTCAGACTAGTGCTGTCCAAATGGTTGCCCCTGTCATTTCTGTTTTAACAACATCTGCTAGCTAGCATAAGCTCTGGCCTTGATAACTTGCATTTCTCTGAGCCTGAATTATTCTTGGCAGACCTTCTTCTTGCAGGTTTTCCTCCTGAAAGCAGATAATAATTTATGCAAAACAATTAATTAAAAAGAAGAAAGGGGAGGAGACGTAAAACCCGCTTAAAAGCGCAAGAATCGTGGAACAAATGGAAACTGCGAAGGAAGAAATAAGAATGAACGATAAACAGCAGATAGCCAGAATAACTACAGCTACGAAAAGTGAAGCAGTTGCATCTTTTCAGCTGTAAAACGCAATAAATATGTAACCACATTTCCAAATTTTAAACTAACGTTTTAATCTCAGTCAACAGAAAGCAATAGCAGTTAGACGAATAGGAACCGATATTGAACCAGAACAAGAAGTCAAGGCTATTTCTGCATTCAGATGTCAGCAGCGCATTTCCTTATCCTCAAGTTTGCAAAGGATTCTTAAAGCCTTATATATGCAGTTATGCGGAAGCTGATTGCCAGCAATAAATAATGCATCCAAGGAAGAGGCTTGAGTACGTATCTTCTCACTTCCAGGATGCGGCTAGGGTTCTTCGCCCCAATTCTACATCAAGGCTGTGGCTTAAAGCAGTCAAAAGGCTATTTAATTGTCAGGCAAGGCTTCCCCCTGCGGAACTCTCTCCGCATGTTACAACCTCTTTGCAGCTCAGCTCCATATGCATCTCTTTTTCACACTTCCCTCTCCATCTCGGGCTCCTACACCTGGTGCATCACGCATTTAGCCCATTAGCTCCGGCTCTTCCTTTCATCTTCCCCATGGCAGACGTTTCTATTTATCCACTGGCAATCAATGTGTGGCGTCACCGGTGGTACTGTAATGACGACTGCACCATTGAGGATGACAGCTTAGAAAGAAGAGGGCAATGGTGATCCCTCCCAGAGCAGCACAGCAGAGTGTAGCGCTCGCATCACAAGGTCACCCTATCTCACCGCTTGCTCTTCTGCATTGGCAGGAGAGGGTTGCTGGGTTTGCACAAGGCTGGGGCGGGAGCGGGAGGGAGGGGGGGAAGAGATCTGGATTTTTTTCCCCCCTCCCTTAAGCAAAGCCACAATGGAAACCAGGAAGGAGATGGTGATGTTTCTGGAAGGGACACAACTTGGCGCTCTAGTTGGCAAGAGGGTGCCTAATTTGTCCGAAGCAGTGGGGAGCCCCGCTCCGGAGCCGCAGGAGAAGATGATCCATCGGAACTGCCTCAGCCCCAGACCTGGCCCCTTGTCGTCCCGGGAGAGAGGAGGAGGAGGAGGTGGCGGAGGAGAAGACGAAGAGGAGGTGGAGGTGCTGCCAGGGACAGGGACGGTGCCGGAGAGCCGCTCG